TCATTCGTTCTCTCCCCCCAAGACGAACACGAGGAAGAGGACTGAGAAGAGAAGCTGCAGCTCTGGGCTGAAGCTCAGCACACTGCAACTCACGGTAGCTCTGTAATTAGGGGCACCTCGCCACGTTTTCCTTTCACGCTCTGTCTTCTGCACTCCCTGGCCCAGCCGGGGCTTTGGAGCCCCTTGCTGGAATGGGCATGGCCGGCTCCCCCTCCAGAGACCCCTCACTGGGAGCAGCTATTCTGTCATGCTCACGGCACAGACCGGCACCCAGCCAGGGGCTGGTGGGGAACTTGCATTTCTCCGAGTGGGGCAGGGCTCCGGCAGTCAGAAACGCAAGTTCACAGCGCTGCACTGGAGGGCCCGGCGCCACCGCGGGTACATTCTATCTCAGGACCGGAGGACGATGGGAGGAAAATTTAACCCAACTAGTGCTTAGGCTCATACTCAAAGCAGATCCAGCCATGCGCTGATGGAGGAGCTAGCCACCTACTGAGAGGAGACAGGTGATCCAGTGCTGACCCGGGTTTCGCCGGTACCGGATTCAAATCCCTATCTGCCAGGCTTCCTGCGTGACTTTGGGTAGGTCACAGTCTCCCTGGGCCTCAGCTCCCCATTTACAGAGGAGGACCGCAATGGGGAGCATAGAAACACTTCAGAAAGGCCGGTCCTTAACCCTCACTCGGGATGCTCATCCACACATGACTTATGGATCCCACGACACTTCTCAAACCACCAGGCAGCCCGGGTATCCTGGCCAACGTGCCCTCCACATCCAAGGCCGCGTCCGAGGGGGAGAGTTACTCGTGATCCCGCCCCGGTGCTGCGCTAACCGACAGTCCCTGAATTGCCAGGACCGAAGTCTGTCTGGCGAAACGCCGAGGTACCCAGAGCACGGACGATACTTTTCTCCGTCTGTGCAGGATCCATTTCTGCGGCTGACCTGTACCAAACTAGGGCTGTTTATCAGCTCCACGGCTACCGTTCCACGTGGTGAGTTACGGTATTTTCTAGCTCGGTGGGTTTTGGCCTGCGGTGAATGCTCGCACCCCAGGTGACTGGAAGACACAGGGCTGTGAGGAATGAGACAGGCCTGACTGTTCCCATGTGCACTCAAACACCATCACCCCCAAATCCTTTCCCACCTTCCTGAAGAACAAACCAGCTCCAAGCCCCCATCACTCCAGCAGCAGCAGTCAGTCACTGTCCCCTTACAAAAGGGACTCCGAGGACGGGGTGCAGCCCATTGCTGACTGCATCATGCCCAGTTACAGACACCCAGAACAAGGCTATACGTACAGCGAGTGCCTCCTCTTCCTCGACTCCGGCCCCGGCCTCGGCCGCGGCCCCTGCCCCGGAAGGCTCCTCGCACCGCTCCTCCCTCGCTCTTGACGCTGGAGGTTTCATCGTGATCAGGCCAGTTCCGCTCATGCTTGTTATCCGGGTGCCAGCCTGCGGAGGAGCAAGGGCAGGCACAGGAGGGACACGAGAGGTGAGGTCAAAAGCGCCCTCTGCTAGCTCTGATATGCAATTAGGCCTGGGGATTGCACCCCGGCCAAGGGACGCTTCCCCCTTGTCCTTTGGCAGGGACCAGAGTGCTCTGGAAGGAGTCTAGCATCTAAAGCAATTCCATCCCCTGTGCAATGCTCCCTGAACACGTGACAAGGCTAAAGCCCTTCTCTGCTCTGTGCCCAGATGAGCTCTCTACCTCGGGGGCAAATGCTGCAGAGCCCGGGCTTTCCCCGACCCTCTCCTGCGTTGGGGAAGCGTGGCTGGGAAAGGGCCCACCTGGCATTAGCGTACCACGACCGACACCGTCCCCAGAGCTTCCCTTTGGATATCGTTCGTAGCGTGCCCCTGACCGCAGCGTCCAGGAGCTGCTCCCTGCCCTTGCAAGTCTCCAACTCCGGTGATGGCTGTGGAAATGCCACAGGCAGGCTGGGAATGCTGCAGCAGCAGCGCCACCAGGTGCTGAGACAGGGGAGCTACCGTCTGACCCCGCCCCAGCCCAGCCCACCCACCTTTCAAGTCACTGCGGTTGTTGGAGAGGTGCCTGTGCTGCTCGTTCTGCCGGTTGTTCCGAGAGGCCGTTTTGTCCCTGGGCGCCTCCGCCTTCATGTCTATTTGCAGAGGGACCCACTTGTGCTTGTTGCCTGAATGAGGGCGTGACACAGCTTTAAAAGGAAGAACAAATATTTGCTTCCACCCCCACCCTCCCCTGGCTCCCTGCATGTTCAAGCAGGGACAGAATCTAGGATGCATCCAATTCCAGGCCAGAAGGCGCTTGGGCCTCTCACACAGATCCCTCTGTGAGGCTCCTGCTGGACCAGTGCCCTGAAAACAGGCTCAGAGAGACTGCGAACCACAGCACAGGAGGGCTGGGTGCTGCTCCCTTACCCGCAGTCTCTGCCGCTCTGGGGAGCTCAGGGCCATGGTGCTGCTGGTAGAACCACTGGACTTCAAAGCTTTCTGCCCCATGTACTTGGCACTTGCACATGGCCCCAAAGTCACACATGGACCTCGGACCTGACCTGGTGAACTTCAAAGCACCAAGAGGAGACCAAGACTGTTCTTGCCACTGCGTGCACCTCGCTCACTGCTGGACTGCCTGTTGTGCCCTGGGATCGAAACAGGCTTCCCCCTGGAAAGCCACCTCTTCGGGTCAAGTGCAACTGACATCTCCCAATGCACAGCCAGCCACTGCCCCAGGAAAGATGATGAATGGGGCCCATCCATCCATCCATCCGAGAGGCAGGCTATGGTCTTCCCAGAACTCATCAAGGTCTACAGCAAGGTCCCTGTACCCATGAGATGAGGGGCGGCACTGTCACGCTCCTGATTTTCTAGTTCTGCTGATTTTTGCAAGCTGCTTCTTTCAGAGCTGCCCTTCTTTCCGACGCGTTTGCCCCTCTCTCTGCAGTCTCATGGGGACTGTCCCTGCAGCAGCAGCCGGCTGAGGGCTCGTCTACACTGGGAACTGACATGGGCATAGTTACATCTCGCAGGGCTGTGAAAAATCCCCATGCAGACAGTGCTAGGCTGACGGACGAATTCTCTCGGGGAGGTGCGTTAACTACATCAATGGGAGAACCCCGCCTGTCGGCACTGGGCGTGTCTACACAGAGTGCTGCAGCTGGGCCACTGTAGCAGTGTAAGTGTAGACGTCCCCTGACTCTTTGCTACCCCAGCTACTCAGAGGGAACAGGAGCGACGCCAAGACTCCTGGAGGGCAGAGGTGGCCGATGCACAGATTCCAGGCCCGGCACCGACTGCCCCCTCAGATCCAGGGACAAAGCCTCACTCCCTTCCACACCTATCCATTATCTCTTGTTTACAAGCAGCTACAATGGAGCCTAGCCCAGGTTCCACGTGCCTCTAACATCGTCCAGCAATAGACCCCCCTCGCCAGCTGATCCCGACCAGCAGAGATTAGCTAATGCCCTCTCCCCAGAGGCTGTAGAAAAGAGAAACTTCCCCTGGAGCTGAACAGAGCTGGACTAGTCTGGATCAAGCAGAGTAGGGGAGCGAATCCCAGAGCAGAGGGACACTCATGGGAAACACCCTGTAAACAACTGATGCAGGTCCAGCACCCCACTCAATAGCTGTGGCTGCACTGGAGGTGGGGGGGGGGAGGGGAAGGGGAGAAGGAAAAGGAAAGGGAGGGTTGGGGAGTCTCAGGTTGGTAGGTGCCAGGCCATTCAGGGCTTCATAGGCCAAAAGCAAATCACCAGTAATTCTATCCAGCAACCCAAAAGGCAGCCAGGGCGGATGGCGAAACAGCAGGACTCTCTGCTTAGCAGGCGCCATGCCTTGCTTCTGCACCAGCTTGTGAATGGATTTCAGATGCAGCCCCGAGGGACGCAGGTTACAATCGCCCATCTGGATGTGGCCAGAGAACTACGATAGCCAGGGCAGCAGGACATCAAAGGTCACGATGTCATGGAAGCTGGCTCGGCCAGAACCAAATCCCCAATCTTCCGGCAGCCCCCTGGAATCTCGCCCACCCTGCCCCCATCCTCACCTTTCTTCTTCTGGGCCAACTTCTGGTTGTCGTCGTCCCCGTTCTTCTCCTCCCCGGACTCGTCCGATTTGGTTTTCAGGTTCTCTTTGCCATCGCTCCCGTCCCCTTTCTCCTGTTCTTTCATGTCTTTCTTGATGGGCAGCTTCCGGAGGGGCTGGGGTTTGGGTGGCTGCTGGAGACAAGAGACAGGCAGGTGAGGCAAAGGGTGGTGGGAGCTGGCTCAGGACAGACTCCGCAGAGCTGGTCAGATCCACCTGCCAGGGTCACGCCCATCTAGCCCCGCAGAGGGGAAGCGGGAAGGACAGTCACTAGTCTGGGGACGGGATCCCAGCATCTCACCTTGGGGAGACATCAGGTCCTGGTAAAGAGCAGCTTAGCTAGCAAGGGCTTGAAGACAAGTCGGAGCGAGCTTTGCATGCGCCATCATCACCCCCAGTGCACACTCGGGCCGGTACTGACAAGAGTTGCCCCCCACCCCCACGAGGGGGAACAACAGTGGGGAGAGGATTCCTAAATACAGGGAGGGGACATAAGGGATGCTCAGAGCTGCCTGTTGCATTGAGATGCTGGATCTGATGAAGATTCTCACCACAGGGGGGAGAGGCTGGGTAGCAACGGGGCACGGACAGACAGCAGCTATTGCATGGCCAGGAAACGAATGCTGAAAGGAAGGTGCCCAAAAATAGAAGGACTTTGACAGCTCCAGCATCTTGGCTGCAGCAGCGCGGGGCCATGCCCCTCATGAGTGCCAGTGTTAGCGGGCACCAAGCCACGGGCTGTTCTGCTGCTCTGCTTTCACCTGGGTAACTCGACCCGTCACCAGAGAGCCGGCTTACTGCACTTCCCTGCCCGACTCGCTGTGCCCGGGGTTCAGAACAGGATCCAGGCTCCCTGGCCCAGAATAGCACCGCTGAGCAAGGGAGCCCAACGTGCAGGGAATCCCTAAAAGGAAATCCTCTGTACCCGGGACCACAGCAAGCTATTCCTGGCGGCCTCCTGAGCCGATGTCCAGCACCCCGAAGAGTCGCTCAGCTGTAGCGACCAGCGCTGCAGCAGGAGAGAGGCAGTGCCCACAGGGCCATGCCCTGAATTCCAGCTCTGACACACACCCCCATAGAAAACAACACTGATGAACGCTCTTGGCTGAGATTTCCCTGGGGCCTCCTGCCTCCGAGATGAGCAGTGCACAGAGGGGCTCTCCCATGTAACATACCGTCCAACATGTGCTAACACACGGAGAACATACGTGGATTACAGCCAGCTGGGGGCTGCTCATGTATGGAAGTGACAAGGGAGCAGCCTGGAGGGCGCGAGCCTTCCTGGCACACAGGCCCTTCTCCCAGCAGGAGGGAGATCTGTGCTGACACACCGCAGAGGGGGCTGGCTAAGGCAGTCATGAAAGTGCAGTTTTAACCAGCATGGGGTCACCGGCTTCACAACCGGACCACTTCCTTCTGGCCTGCAAAGGTCCCAAACTCTATCTGTTTCTGAGATTAGTGGGCAGGGGAACATAGGAAGAAAAAACAGTTTCACCACAAGGGTTAATTCTAGAGGACAACAGTGCAGAATTGGGGGGTCAGGGAAGGGGAGGAACTCCAGGCTGAAAGAGGAGCTGGGCGCTGGGCTAGAGGAGAGATGCCATCTCACCTCCACTTCAGGAAGCAGCATGTTGTGATACCAACTTCAGAACAGCCGCACAAGCTGAGGGCATCTGGCTTCATTTCTCCCTCGGCTTGAGAAGGCTGCAGGAGCCTGGTACGTTCTGAGCCACAGGGAGGTCGTGTTTAGAAAGCGGCATTCATCCCCCCAGGCACACAGGGCACTGTCATTGTGCGGATTTGGGGTATTGTGAACAGCCAAGTGTCTTCTCAGTGGGTAGATGAAAGTGCTTCCAACTCACACAAGCAAGTGGAAGGTTGGCACAGAACGTTCCTCACTGACGGCTCAAACTGCTCCTTTCGCTTTTTTTATTATTATTAAAGGGACAATCCAAGTCCAGTCTCCAATCTGAACCGTGTAAAAGCAATCTTTTACCCAACCTAAGCAACACACCCAGGCTTGTGTTTTGTTTGCAATTCTGACAAACAGATGTTTAAAATATCCATTCCCCTGCCCTTCCAACCCAAACATTGTAGCCTCCAGAACTGGAACGCAAAACCACCTAGGAACGGAAGTGAAACAAGACCTGCAGGATGTACGATTTTAAAAATAGATAGAGGAGATTCTAGCTCTTATGGTTGCAGGGATCACCTTTAAACATCACTCTAGCATAAAGCTGATGCAATGCCATCTTGCCGAGGCTGCCCGCAGCCTCGGCACCTCCGCTGCTGCTCAGAGCTTTGCTCAACAGCAGCAGCCTGAAATTAGTAAGTGCTTGGGTCAATTTCATGGCAACAATTCGGAACCCTGTGGGTTACAAGGAAACTGACAACAACAGGGCCAAGGAAAGCTGGCTTGGCTTGAGTGCTGCCTGAGGGCAGCTGGGCCTTTTAGTACGTTGAGTTCTCTGGTTACTGGGAGGCTGCTGAATGTGTCAAGAACCAGAGGGTGTATAAGGGAGACAGAGGGGACCCATTAAAGGTGAGACTAGTATGAAGAAGAGCCAGAGAGCGAGAAAGCAAAGAGGAAAACAGACACTGAAAACAGCACAGGGAAATATACGCTGGCCTGTTATGAGAAAAAGAAAAGCGAAGGGAACAAAGAAAGCAACTCACACAAACTTACATTGTAAAGGCATTAGAATCTGCCCAGAGAAATGCAGTTAAGAAAGATACACAAACAATACACAGCTGTTTATTCCTTGCATTCCAGGGAGCAGCAGCCTAGCTCTTTCCACTGTGGCTAGCAGGACTAGTCCATCAACTAGCAGGTCTCAGGTAACTTTTCCGAACCCTGCTATAATAATCTGTGGTGTTATTGGTAAAATAGGCATTGAAATGTGATAAAGGAAGATTTCAGCTGACAGTGTCTATTTCAGCTGTTTTAGGGACAGAGAAGCCCTCAGGAGACCTTGCTTCCAGAGGAAAAGCCCACAGGACATCTTGGTCTTGAGCAGTCAACTTTTCTAGAGCTCTCTGCCTTCAGAGAGAAGAGGGGACATCACTCATTCGCCAGGGAAAGCTCGGATGTTGCCGTACAGTAGAGTGTTTTGTTCGCAGGGTCGTGCTTCTTACCTGGATGCTCTTGTGGGCTATTTCTCCAGGGGTCGGCCAGTTCGTGGCATCACCAAAGTCACCGACCTTTATTCAAAAAACACAGAGAGATCTCGTTAGTACAGTAATCTCAAGCGCTGGTTCTGACGGGCTGCTTCCTCGCATTCAATAGGCCAATATCCCTCCTCCCCCTTCCAGAGCACAGGGCCTGGGCTAGAGGATCGGACCAACAGCCCCTGACCCCATCCGGCAGCGTCCAGTACCAGATGCTTCAGAGAAAGAGACAAGAAACATCCTCATGGACAGCCATGGAATAACATGCCCAAAGGGGACATTGCTGCCTACCCCAGGGGGATCCAAGGTTGGTTTATGCCCTGAAGCCTCAGGGTGTATAACCCTTAAAATCCTGTCTAAGAAGCGTGAATAATTATTATCCACATAAAGTGTCACCCTCTTTAAAATCCTGTTAAGCACTTGATCTCAGTGACCTCATGGGCAACAAGTTTCACCGGCTAGTTATAGAAGGCATAAAATATTATTGTCCGGTGGTTTTAAATGTGCTGCCTTGGAGTTGGTTGAACATCCCCCTATTCTTGAATGATGGATGAGTGCACCGCAGACCCACTCTGGGCGCTTCGCTGTACCTTCCTACTGCTAGCTGGCCACAGAGCTGGATGACCCTGCTTTTAGCTCCGACAGAAGACGGTCACATGTTCAGAGCCACAAGGGTCAGGTTCAAGCCCCGTGGCCAACAGCTCACCCAGATGAGCGGTGTAATAAAATCAGAAATAGCAGCTGCTGACACCCTCTTTATACTCTCACTACTGTGTGGAAGGATCATCTCTTCCCTAGGCCAACCTGCTCTCTCTCCAGCCCCCTAGGCAATTCTGTTGTCAGTCTCTAAATCCCCTCTATTTCTGCACTCAGATGTCTGGAGCTGAACTCTAACATCATCCTGGTGCCGCCTGGTGGGGTCAGACCACAACTGCAAGGCTCGGCGGGGTTTCAGCCCAGCCCCGTTTCCCTTAAAGAGGAGCAATCCAGCTGCGATACCGAATTCACTTTAAAGTTCATTCTAAAAGCTCGTGCCACCTGGCGGCAGATGACTGCAGGGCTCACGCACATTAAACAGCACAATTGCAATCAAGTGCTGCCAATTACACGAGCCAGCAGCAGCACAGAGCAGCAGAGCTCTGGGCTCAATTGACAGCAAGAACAGGCATCTGGTTTCAATTCAATCCACCCCGAGCAGCCTCCAAGGCCACTCACAACACACCATTCATGCGCCTTCCCCTGTGGGGCTGGAGCTTGCCAGCGAAGCGGTTTGGTTTGCAGGGCAGTTATACCGTTTATTGGGGTCTCCACTCGATCTAGTTTTCAAACCTGATTCTTTGAGAACGAGAGGTGTTTGCAGGGGGAAAGAGGCAGGGCGTGGCTGTCGCTTCCCAACCAAGCAGGAGGGGAACGTTAACGCTCAAGAAAGAGGCCCAGAAGATCGTGTTCTGGGGAAAGCCCAGCAGCCCTTTGAAGAAGGGCAGCCAGTGACAAGTGCAGGACCCCCGGAGTTCTCAGGGGGAGAGTCACACAAGATGTTACGCTATTTTGCTTGCAGGGCAATTCTCCCTCAGCAGAAGATTTGTATTGGTTGGTCGGTTTAAAATGAGAGTCTAAAAGGAGAGGCATGATCCAGCTCCTCTGCCACCACACCATTCACTTCAACAACAGCCCATTCCTGCATTCAGCAGATCACAGCCCGCTCCCAGGCCGGTGGGGATTTCAAACATGCTACCCAAGGGCTGTGCCACAGAGGAGCGGAAGGAGAAAAACCTTAGCTCACAGGTGGGCGGCAGCGTCAGGCTCTCCTACAGGGTCTCGGGTGTCGATAGGACTTCGAGTTGACGGAGGCCCTCGTGACTGTCCGGTGTGGCAGGCACAGTATGGGAGGGGCTCGACTGCTCAACGTGAGCTGGGGCCCGACTTCCTGACGGAGGGGTTGAGCCGCCCAGCAGAGGTCTTGGCTCTCCTCCGGCCCTCTCTTTTCCCTTATGGGAAGTAGGAGATCTTCCCATTGCAGACCTCTTGGGCTTCTTGGCCAGGGCCAGGGCGGGGGATCGGTGCCAGCTCAGGGTCGAGTCGGACCTCTGCTCTGGTGCTGGGGTCAGTGCCGACTCCATCAGGAGTGTCCTGAGACGGACGTCTCTCCTTTTTCATTCTGGGTTTGAACGACTTACAGATGCGACACTTGTCACTTGTGTGTCCTTCTTCTAGACACCTTAAATGGCTAACGTGTGGGTCGCTGTGGGCTTGGGGCACTTACAACGATCGCATGGTTTAAAGCCTGAGGATCCCCAGGGCATGCTCCATCCCTAGGCTGAGTCCCATCCGGGACCAGCTAAATAGAATGAATACTAAGGGTAAATACTGAACTATACACAACAAAGAGACACACTGAACTAGGCGAAAGCTAGCCGAAGTTCCCGCACCATCACTGGCAGCAAGAAGGAACTGAGGGTGGGGGGAGTCAGCGGCACCCCTTATATTGTGCCATGCGGGTGCCACTCCAGGGGACGCCAGAGCCTGTCCCCTACGGATACTGCTAAGGGAAAAACTTCCGGCACTGGTGCATGCGGTGAGCACACAGCTAATGTGGAATGGACATGAGCAAGCACTCGAAGAAGAAACAACGGCCTCCGAGGGACAGCATGGAGCAGGTCCAAGCGGGTGGGGAATGATGGTCGTTCTAGGCACCCACATGGCGCTGTGCATCGTCCATCCGCTTCACCGACATCGATCCATCCGCGCAGGCACATGGGCTCACACCCGCCTCCGGGAGGCGGGCAGGCATTGCACCCAACATACAGGTGGGCAGAGGGCACCAATTTAAGTTGTGCCCGTCACTGTGACATCTAGGCACAACCCCTGCCTCGGAGGGTGCTGAGAAGCTCCGCTGTGGTAGAGCCCTAGCAGATGCTTTGATGACAGATGCTAGGCAAGAGCCTGGCAGGACTGACAACCCAGAGTGGCAAGCTCTTGTAAACGCAGCAGCTGGGAGAAAGGTGCCCTCTGCAGCACTGCCATGGCCCAGAGCTGGGCACTGCCATGGAAGCACCACACGCTGCTGGAGTCATGCCAAGGTTTCCGGTGGCCACCCAGAACCAGCGGCTGTGCAGCGCTGCAGGGTGTGTGGGTGAAGAGCCACCCCTGGCTGCTAGGGAGTGGAAATGCATGCACTATTCAGAGAGCTTGCTCCCCGGTGACGTAACAAAAATACTGCCCTAAGTGGCATGGGAGGCAGCGTGGTCTAGTGGACAGAGCAGTGACCTGGGAGTCCAGGAGACCTGGGGTCTAGTCCCAGCTCTGTCACTGACCTGGGGCAAGTCACTTCCACTCCAATGCTTTGCCTGTCTTGTCTGTGAGGCTAAGCGCTCTTGGGGGCAGGGACTCCGTCTCCCTACGTGTACGTACAGCACCCAGCACACTGGGTCCAATCGCGGCTGGGCCTCTAGGTGCTGCTGCAATGCAGAAGACAAGCAGCGAGCGCCAGGTAATACACCACCAGAAACGGGAAAAGGCAGAGGCAGACGTACCTTGCTTCCTTTCCGCTGCCTGGGGTTTGCAGCCCTCACCACTTTGGCTGGAGTTGTATGTTCTGTGAAAGTAAAACAGAGGCGTTAATACACAACACCAAGCGTTGCTAGAGCGTTAACCTCAATGGACAGTGCAGAGAGAAGGCCACGTGCTGGCACTGGCTGAGTCCTCTCCCTACCTGGGTCAAAGTCCCTCTTAGATCTTCCCAATGACCCTTCTCTTCCCCACCGTGCACCAAGGTGAGTCACCCATCCAGCCCTTACAAAGGAGGAGGGGAAGGGTATGTCCACACTGGGCCCAAGCCCCAATTCCATGCACACACCAATCAACCCGACTCAGGTCAGCAAGCACTGGGTCTTAGGGGTGGGTCAGAGCTGTTGCGATTCAGGTCGAAGCCCTGGCATTTTGCAATGTGGAAGCAGGGCCAGCTGCAGACCCGAGTTGGAGTCTACATAGTGCAGCATGGACACGTTAGCGCAGCTGTGAGACCAGATCCAGCCACTGTAAACCCAGGTTACCAATGCAGTGCAGACAGACACTCAATCACAGCCTTGGAAACACGCCCAGGTCCCAGTGTCCTGGGCTTCGCACGCAGCACAGATATCCCCTACGTGGCCACATCTGGAAGCACCCAACCCCTCTCGTGGGGGGAGGAGGCGGAGATCCCAGGAGGAAGTGTAATGAATGGGACAGGCTAGACCTTGTGATTCTGAAAGGAGCTCGCCTGCTCTCTGCTGGATTGGCGGCGTGCAACGTCTCTCAACTATTCACGCCGGAGTCCAACCTTCTCCGCTACGCCCCAAAATCAACAACCCAAATCACTCCAACAGAGAGTCCCCATTTCACCTCTGGGCGCACGGCAGAAACAGTCCCAAACCTCTACAGATGCTGGGCCACAAAGACTTGAAAGGTCACCTGCCACAACCATGATCACGGAGGCTGCAGACCCTGGTCCAATTCCCAGCACCACCCTTCCCCAATCCACTCATCACCCAGTCCCCCAGGCAGGGAGAGTTACACTCCGACTGACAGCCAGCGTTTCCTGTTCTCCACCTCTACGCTGCACACCCCATTTACATCAAGGGATCTCTCCCTGCAATACACGAGTCGGGGTCAGTCTCACGGGTGCAGCTTTGCTCACTAAGGGGCTGGCCAGTCCCGCCCCAGCCTGCTCAGCCCAAGCGAGAGGTGGGCAAGGAACCAGGGACACTCGTCCTTGGCCGCCTGCAGCCTGGTGTCTCCCCTGAATTCACAAGCAGAACGGGACAGCTGGGAATTTAACACAGACATCTAGGAAGTGTGAGCACACAGACAGCGACATTACTGCACGGGGGTCAGTCAGGGCCCTTCACGTTAACATGGAGGGACAAATGCCCAACCCCCACCAAGGCTAGTAAATACGGACAGGCCTGCAATGGCTATTACTGAGGGAGTAAATGCCAGGGCCGACAACAAGGCAGAATTACACCCAGCATGGCAGGGCTGACAGGGACGATGACCAGGGAGCGAAGGAACAATGGTGACTCAATTAGGAGGGCTTTATAGTACCACCAAAGCGCTCCTAGTGTGGACGCAGCGACACTGCCTTTGTACCGGTGCAATAAACCTGCCTCACCTCCCAAGTGAAACAAATGATACCGGTACGGGTGCACCGTTTGTCAGTATAGCTGTATCCACGCTAGAGAGGTTTGCCTGTCTCGTCTCTGCTGGTCACAGATCGCACCCTTGACCACACAGCTATGCCAGCAGAAGTCTGTGGTGTAGACCTGGCCTTAGCTTCCAATCTGCAGTTTGAAGCATCCACACAAAAGCCCACCTGAACAATGAAGCTAGGCGACCCTGTTAAGACTCTAGCACATCCCTGCATAGGGTTTATTTTATACAGTACACACAGGATTCAGCCAGGTTCTGTCATCCGTCTGCAAACCCCATCACAGCCTAGGCTTGTTCGCACGGTTAGCGGACATGACCACATGGTGGTTTGATCTGATCTATGCTGCAGGACGGCACACCACTGGCTGTGTTGCAGGCAGGGGGAATTCTCCTGCTGCAACTAGCTTCTGCAGCAGGACTGTTTCTGGGATGGAGACCAGCCCGGAGACCGCACACAGCCCCTCCCACACTCAGCATGACTGCCAGCTTGCTCAACTCGAACGCGGCTCTTGGGAGGAGGGGCAGTGAAGTTCTGCTTGTTCTGTAAAGCACCACGCAAACTTAAATCTGCTGCATAAGCAGCAGAACAAGCGAGCCCTCGAGCAGCTGGGCACCAAAATGGCTTGATGAGCTTGGCTTTTCCCGAGAGGGTGGTGGAGCGATTTTAATGAGGGACACGTGGCCCTTGCTGCCCGGCGTGTCGTATGTGCACCCGTCTCCTCGCAACTGCTCTGATCTCGGCATGGTCCCAGCAAAAGCAGCAGCTGTGCGAGCGCCCTCTGCCAGGCAGCAACTGGAGACACACAGCTCCACGGGAAGGGAGCAGCTGAGGCTGCTCCTCCACCTGCCAAACAAATTGCTGTCTCCACCGGCCCTCCTCTTTACTTCTGTCCCCTCCCCTAGCAGGTGGGCAGAGGGAATCAGCTGCCCTGAACTGGCCACGACAGTTTGGATCAGGATTGCACTGTTTCAAACAGCTGCCCTACTGGGCAGGATTGCAGCACGGCTCGGTGGGGTATTCCCGTTTGAGTGGCTCCATGGATGCTAGTAATAACCCCTTCCACACTGCATGCATGGGCCCCAGCGCATGCCCTGCACAGGCGCATCCATGCAAAGACCAGCATGCGAGAGCGCAGATGCATCCGCTGCACACAGAAGCCTCAGTTTTACAATCACGGGACTCTCTCGGGGCTGGCCTGGAAAGGGAGAGGTTCAGCTGTGGCCCCTCTCAAGGCAGGCCGGGTGAGCGCTGCCATGTGTCACGGCTGCCATCATTAATTGCAGGGTGCCGGTAGAATAACTATGGTCTCCAGTCAGTAAAAGGCCACAGAAGGACAGAGCAGCATCCATGACCCGCTGCACAGGGGAGGAAGGACGGGCTTGTGGATAGGGCACTTGCCTGGGGCTCCCACAGCCTGCCTGTCCGACCTCGGGCAAGTCGCAATTTCTCTGTGCCTCAGTTCCCCATCGGACATCAATCACCAGCTGGAAAACGGTGATAATACAACGTGTGTGTGTGTGTGTGTCTGCGCGCGCGCACGTACGTACAGCGCCTAGCACAATGGGGGTCCCGGATTGTTTGTTTTGGCGTAGCAAGTGGGGCCTCCAAAACAACTTCCTTTCTCCCACCCTTTGTCTATTTTGACAGCAAACTCTTTGGGGCAGGGACTGTCGCGCAGCACTATGCGAGCCTGGCACCTCCGGGCACTAGCATAATAATGACGACAAATAGCTGCACAGGAATGTGGGAGGTGGACGAGACTGTAGGGGGGAATTAAATGCTTTTCCTCTCACCTACACTTGGCATCCCCCTCCCACCCCGCAGAGAGAAAACCCTGTCCCCCTCCAACATCCAGAAGATGCCCTGGAATGCCCTGCATTTTTATGCCTGCTAGATGGTCGGAGAACAGCACTGGGGTGAGGTTTTTCAGCTCCAGCTTCTCTGTGCCACTGACCCCGAGGCAGGTTTACTGCAGCCACCCCGAAAATATACCTGGGCTTAACTCCAGCTCCACTTCAGTTCTGCACCTCACCTTTAAGGGGTGCTGGGCCCAATATTTCACCCCTAGATGATTTTCGTCCGCTAAGTCCACAGAACTGTATCTGCGCTCCCTCCCGGGCACTAGCTGTCCTGCCCAGAGGAAGGCTAGTGACCCAGTACTCGAAGAATGTTTTTTAAATGGTTTGAAAACATCTCTGCGTAAAGCCTGGGCCAAGGGGAGCACAACGCCGCCGTTGTAACATCTGGCTGGAATTTCAGTTGCGAAATTGTTTTACAAGGTTTGATGCAGCTGGTTCAGAGAAGGTGGCTTTAAAAGCAGGGCGGGTCACATATGGGACTTCACACATGCTCACAACCATGTTATACCGTACATTGAGAGTGTCTCTAAACCCAATTCATTTTTTTTTTTTTTTTTTAAAAAGGATAGCTTAACTCCTGAAATTCTGAAGCTGGTTTCCCTTAGGGGGATTATTTTTTCCCCATAGCCTGCTCCCAACAGATGCTGTTTTAACAGGTTGCTAAACACGTGCTGTGGGATGGCTCATATGCGGCACGTGTGCGCTTGACTACAGCTGCACTTCAACGCGATGCACCCCTCTCCCTGCCAATACTTCTCCCCAGCCCTCCGCCGCACGCTCCTGGTACCACAGGCAGAACAATGCACTGCAGCCAGCCAGGGATGAAAATGAAGGTAACACCTTAATTCCGTTTTACCACCCTGCAAGCTCCATAGCAGCCTCGCAAGCAGGCAAGAGCCCCCCCCCCCCCCCCCCCCCGAAAGAGCCAGCTCTGCAAATAGCAACCCTGCACATCCATGAGACAGCCAGCAGACCCTCCCCCCAAATCCCCAGGACCCATCCTCTGCTGAGTGAGGGGAAAGGGAAAGGTACCGTGCACTCAGCACCCCCCTTTCCGGAGACAAGCCCAGGGTTCTGCAGGGATGGAACGACGGGCACTGGTACCCCTGCAACACTGGCTCGGTGGCTTTATTCCACCAGGGAGTAGGGCAGGAAGAAAGGGGGCTGGAGGAGCATGAACATCCCATTAGCAGCCCCGGGCGACGGCAGATTAGAAGTGGCTGGGAGCCGCGCTGCGCCACAGAACGCCACGGCTGGTTACCCCTGGAAGCTCACTGCTTCTCGGAGCCAGCCTGCATTACACAGGTGCTCAGACTAGGCGGTCAAAACGGTCCCTTTTCAGGCCTTAGCACCCAGGAGTGGGGCCAGGGCGCCGAGCTGTGCACACTGAAGCGCCAATGAGCCAGAATAAGAAGTGGCAAAGCAGAGTTTCCCCTGTCAATTCCCCCTTCAAAGGGTTCCCGAGTGGGATTTCACAGACACCAGCTCCCTGGTTCTGGAATCCTCCTTGCTAGCTGGCACTCATCCACCGTCCTCGTCCTCCCAGAG